AGACTAAAATAGGAAAATAAGATAGGATAAGGTCCTAGAATACCCAAGCTTATGGGGTTAATATGCGCACTTTTCAGCGCTCATCAGAGGTGCCTTGTGGCCATGGATGGTTAGTCAATCCTCCTTTCATGATGCCTTGGAGGTGCCTTGGGTTGAATTGCGCTAACGGTTTGGAAGTTGAAACAAAAATGTTTCGAAAATAGGGACCAACATTGGCATAACATTGCATTTCATTAGCATACATTGTATACATGTGGTTGGATGACTATTTTGAAGTTTTTTTTTTTTTTTTTTTGATGATATTTTAGTCGTTGTTGCATTTTTCCCCCGAATGACATGATCCCGTTTAATTTTACCCAATGCTTTGCGTGGATTCACACAGTCGTAAGAGGTGTGTCTTAGACACTTCCTACTGAGTTTTATGCTCACCCCATCATTTTAACATTTTTCAGGATACGGAAAGAAAGTGACGGATGACGCTCCTCCACAGGTTTTAACGAGTTAGTGGACTGTGTTGACATATTTTGTAACTACGATCCCATTTTATTATTATTATTATTTTTATTATTATTATTATTATAAACCCTGGGATGACACGTATATTATGTATTAACATAGGAAAGGACGGTAATGTCTTTAGTTAACCTCAGGTTCAAGTAAGGACCCGGTTAGCAATTCGAACCCTCGGGTTCGGGTCGTTACAAATTTGGTATCAGAGCTTTAGGTTCGAAAACCTAAGGATGACGGGTAGGGTTAACCTAAGTGGGACTTAAGTTGATTTGCAAGTATTGCCTGTTAAAGTGTTTATTATTTTGAGTAGCATGCCTACTTGTTACTTGCCTATATGTTTACGGTTTCGAAAGACATGCCTTTTGCTAAATGTTCACATGCTTACGTGATTAAATTTAAAAATATGTGTTACATGGCCATGTATGTGGAATATTTATATGATAATGATTGAAAGCATGTTATACGTGTTATGATGGCAAGCTGTGAGTAATTCCCATTCTGGGAAACTACATGAGTGTGTCACGGGTAATCGACTCCCGGTGAGCCGATTGCATGGCTCGGTCGATGAGCGGGGTTCTGGGTTGGCACGGTTGTCGATAGAGTCTCGAGGTGAGGCATAGTGGTTAGCTTTAGTTGTATAGAATAGGATTGCACTATAAGGCAGGTTGTATGAGGTCATTGAAGTGCTCGGTCATTTACAGATGAAGTGATTGATGGTAAGAATTGTGTTATCAAATGGACTATGTTCTGGAAGTTGAAAGTTATGGGCTGGAATCATAATTCAAGTTGTGTCTAAAGTATTAGGAGATAGTACTTGGTGTTTGAGGATCTGAAAAGGTTGACTGATGACAAGAATGATTAGGACGAGGTTGATCTTTAGTTAGTAGCCCCATTTGACTTTTGTCGGGGCTAAGGATATTCTTAGGAACAGTGCGGAGGAGAGATAATGATGTTGAACCTAGGGCATGAAATTTTCTTCTTTATGCATGTAGATTGCCTTAGGAAGAGTGGTTTGAGTGGCCAATTAAATGTTAGTGATTGATTGCATTGTAGATGATTTTGAGGAGACAGTTGGGTGCTAAGCATTCTGGGTTTTATGCTCATTTTTGTTTTGAGGATATGTCGGCATGGCATTGCTATATGGAGGTTCTTTTCTAGTGGTAAATAGTGGTTGTTGTGGGGGAATATCGAGAGTGATGTTTATTCTCTTGTTATGATGGCGTTATCTTAAGAATGTTTGAGGAAGAATCACTTAGTAATGGCTTGATGATCCAGTGAGATGAGAAGTTTGAGTTATCATTTAGGAAGAATGGTATTAAAGGTGTTATGGCATGATGTTTAGTACTAATGAACATAATGATGTCAGGTATGATCTGAGGGTGAATTAAAGATTATAAGTTGCTGTTGTATGTCGTCATATAGGTGATGGGATTGTGCACCAGTTGAGGCGATTATGGTTGGCTTAGTCTTTAGAGCCAGTGAGAGCGGTGTTACCATATAGGCATCTTTTTCTTTTGATAAGTCGGTGGGTTGTTGTGACTGAGGTCAAGGGTTTTATGTGCACGGTGTTCGAGGGAATGTTGCCTTGAAAGGTAAAGGTAAAATAAGTGGTAAAGTGTTATTTTAAGGCATGGGGGCTGTCACTTGAGAGTGACGGGTTCCGGGTAGAAAGGGATGCGATGTCTGATGGGTTATGATCGTTTCTAATATTGGTAGGATATGAGCATTGATGTTTTGTCTGTGGTTGTGTTGTGAGTTGTATCTTAGTACTCGATGAATGAGTGGTATGGATCTGATTGGTTTTGGTTAGCATGGGTGTTGTGAAGTATCATATGCAAGGTTCCGGTGTTAATAGTGTATAATGGTCCGTTAGTGGCGACTTCGCCTAGATTTGTGTTCGTAGTCCCGTATGTGTTTCCAGTTGGTTCTTCTCTTTGTGTGTAAGGAGTTCATTTCATCTCTGGTGAGATTGGTGTCCACGGTTGGATGATTGGTAAGTAGCGTGTGACAAGGTGTCGGGTGCATTCAGGTACGAGTCATCAGTCTTTGGTGAGTGCAGGGTTCATTACCTTTCTGTTTGTTCTGGACTCGGCAAGGACGTCGATTGTCGTGAGTATTGTTCTCCGTTTAGGAGTTGTGCGCGTCCGTTAGTGGATAAACCTGTGTGTGGTTTGTTATATTGTTTGAGTTCATCAGTAAAGGTTTGGTTAATTTAGTTAACTCACTCCCACGGAGGGAGATAAAGTCATTGGTTTTTGGTAGTGCTTATTTTGAGAGTGGTTTTGACTACACGAGTTGCCGAATAGGGATTGTGTTAGGGGTGTGTCGAGAATTGTAAACTTGAGGATAGTTAGGTGATGTGATGTGAGTCATATACTCGGGTGTTTTTATTGGTGTTTGATTTGAGCAGTGTCTTGAGGACAAGTGTTGGTATTATTTGAGTGTTAAGTAGCTAGAGAGTGATTATGGGATTCCGTTGAAGAATAATAAGAATGAATGACTTTGGTTTTGAGATTTCAGGCATGAGATAATTGTATTGTGTGTTTTGAAGAAGTAAGAATTGAACCGAATGATGTTATGGAGTTATCTACCTGGTATAGGTGTTATGAGATCATTAGAGAGTTTTTGTGCCGATCAATGATTGTAACGTTTGGTGCGGTGTTATTTCTAGCTTGTTAGGGGTTGTATGATTAAAGTATGATTGGAATTTTTAGAGTAGGTATGTGACTGTATAACCATTGTGGTTACATAGAACAATGAATTGATAGTAAGTGAATCTCATGGTTATTTTGTAGACTATGTGAGATTATATTTAAGGTTTGGACCTGAGGACAGGAATGACATCTGTGCTAAGATCAGATTGAGGATGAGAATGGCCTGACCAGCCATTTCTCTTGAATTAGTCCCTCTTTAGCATGATGTCGTGTCAAAGGTCAACGATTGTTTCAACTTGTTAGTGACAGTGAAAGCACGATTTTGCGCGTTGTGTCAATATGGCAGTGTGGACTCAGATGATTTGTTTTGGGTGACGAGGTGTGTTAGGTAGGATCAAGTGTCTGATAAAGGGTTGTGGTGCAACCATTAACTATTGAAGATTTTGTTTTGAGGATTTGTAACCTGGGTACAGGATAATTTGTTTTATTGTTCTGGTGATCCATGATTATGTAGTCGTTGGGAAATTCATTATTTAGTCATCTTGAGGATGATAAGTTTAGTGATTGTCGCTTGGTGTAGTTAGTAGTCGTTGTATGGGTATGTAATAGTGTAGTTAAGTGTTAGGTAGTGAGTGTTCAGTTTGACAGGATGTGTAAATTAGAGTTGAGCTTGATTGTGAGATGGACGGAGTCTTACGTAGCAGTGTAGAGTGAACTGATGTCCATTGAGAGTCGGATGTAGGGCCTAGTTGGTCTCGAGTTCTGATATCGTTAGTAATGAGTATCCTCATAGGGTGGTAAGCATTGTGTTTTTGTGGCAGTGGTGTGTGATTGCCAATTGACATTCAATGTCAAAGAAAATAAGGTTGGTGAACTCATAGTCCTGCAGTCTGGTGAGGTGTTTTTTAGGAAGGTGTGTGGCTATGAGCATCCTTCTTTCAGGAGGGTAGATTTCGAGGATGAAATCTTTTAAGAATGGTAGAATGTAATGTTTTCGATTTTTCTCATTTTCCATTTTCTGGAATTTTCCTGATTTTTCAAAGGTATTTTCGTATTTTCTCGTTTTGTGTGCCGGACACCGTGGGGTGTGTCAGAGTGTTGATTGGGGATTTTCTTGAGCTCAGGGCTTGTAGAAATGCAATGGTCGCCATTTCGGCATTTTTTCATTTTTCGAGCCGAGAGGTCCCAAGTGGGACCCATTATAAGTATTTTATGTACGATGAATTTATTTTTGGGTCCATTGCATTTTATACATGCTTATTTAATGCATTTATATGTAGATATATGTTGGTGTGTGGTTGCATTGCATTAGTTTGTGTATTAAAGTGTAAAGGAGATATTTGTTATTAAGTGGGCCCCACGAAGCACTAACCATATATTGTATCACCACACACCACTTTGCTGCCATTTCTTCCTTCAGATTCATGGCTGAGCTTTCTTTCTCTACGAGAATCATTTTTTGTCTTTTTCAATCATACTTTTTTAGCCTAAATTTCTCCATTTCACACTTAGTTTTCAACTTTGCCAATGAAGGCAAAGTTGACAAGCTTATTGAGGACATCGAAGAATAAAAAGAAATGCAGTCAATTATGTACTTATGGATGGGGATCTTTATAGGAGATTGGCTGATGATGGCTTGTTATTTCAATGTATTAGCAAGTTTGAAGGTTTAAAGATTATGGCAGAGGTACACGAAGGGATGTGTGGAGCTCACCAAGCTGGCATAAAAATGACATAGTTGATACACCGATATCGATATTATTGGCCTGGAATGAGAAAAGATTATATGACCTATGCAAAGGGTTGTACAGATTGTCAAAATCATGGCCCAATGCAATGGGTTCCAATAATAGAGATGCAGTTATTAGTCAAACCATAGCCTTTCAGAGGTTGGGCCATAGACTTAATCGGTAAGATCAATCCTCCTTCTTTAAAGGGTCATCATTGGATTATCTTAGCTACTGATTATTTTACCAAGTGGGTAGAAACCGAGGAATATGTATCGGTAACTCAAAACACTATCATACAATTTCTGGAGCGACACATCTTTCACCTATTTAGTCTACCAGAAACAATTGTTTCCGATAATGGATCTGTGTTTAGAGGAGGAGATGTATTACAACTCGGCCGTAATATGCAGGTAAAAATGTTAACCTCAATTCCTTATTACGCTCAAGGGAACGGTCAAGCAGAAGCCTCAAACAAAGTTGTAATTGAAATTATTGAGAAGATGATCAAGGACAAGCCAAGAAGATGGCATGAAACCCTTTCAGAAGCCTTATGGGCTTATAAAAAATCAAAAAGGACAAGTACAGGAGCTACTTCTTATCGGCTAACATTTGGCCATGATGTCGTGTTATCGATGGAGTTAGATGTAAAATTGGCAAAAATAGCTTTGCAACATAATCTGATACCTGTCGATTACAACGAAGCTATGCTTGCAGAGTTAGAGGACTTAGATGAAGTTCAGAAACTTACTTTAGACCACCTTATGGTCCATAAAGCAAAGCTAATGAAAGCCTATAAAAAAAGGGTAAAGTTCAAATCATTAGCAGAGGGTGATATGGTTTGGCAAACAATTCTTCCACCTGGAAAGGTAGATAGAACTTATGCAAAATAGTCCCCTACCTGGAAGGGACTAAGTATTGCATAGAGGTACTTATAAGTTAAAGGATTTGGATGGCGAGGTGCATGAAAGGCCAATAAATGGAAGGTACCTTAAAAACTATAAACCAACCATTTTTGAACTTATAGAGGAAAAGAAAATCTCCACTAAGTCAAATTAGTTTGGGTTATATTTAGCCTCGGTTGTTGTTTTCCCTTTTTGCTTTATTTAATGAATAAAGATATTAGCATATTTAAAGTTCAAAACATCATTGTCACAAATAGTTCAAAAATACCATATTACAGACCCATAATAGCAAGAAATCCATAATTGTTCAAGATTGGCTAAAGTTCTTGTGAAAATCTTCAAATTTGGCCTTAAAATCAGCCCAAGAGGTTTGGGTTTGCTAGAGTTTGGTTTCTGCTTGTTTTTTGGATTGCTCCAACTTAGGCAGTTGAGCCTGCAACGCTTTGAATTTGGGAGTAATAGTCTCGGCCTGAATTTTTAACTCCATTACTTTGCTGCCGAGTTAGGTTTTGTCTAGCTGCAACTGAGCAAGTTCAGCTTGATGCTTCTTCTCTCTAGCGTCTAGTTCGGCAGTTTATTTCTTCAACGATAAGTGAAGCTCTTTTCCCATCTTCAAAGTCTTGGAAAGTTTCTATTTTTCCTGGTACTGGACAGAGCAATGGTGGAGAATTTAGTTTGCTTCAACATACGCAGTGGTCATGGTAGGAATTTGAAGCTAAAAATTCTTTAAAAAGGCTAGATCACTTAAGAAGAATCCAGGATAGCTACTCAAGAAAGAGAATGTCTCAGTTAATTCATTTTTGAACGAAGGGGTTTGAGACAAATCTTCTTGTACCATTTGGGATAATATTTGAATAGCTTTTAGTACTTCTAAAGGGGTTTTAGAAGTTTTTTCAGTTGGGACCACAAGGGGTTCAGGATCCAAGGATTCAAACACAGAATCAAATAGTGAATCAAGAGTTGTGAAAGGCGAACTTAGGTTGGCACTTGTAGGCATGGTAAGAGTAACTGAGTCTTTCTGTACCTGAAATGTTTTGGATTAGTCTCAATCATTACAAGTCTACAAGTGCAGGTTATGAAAATTCAACAACTTACTTCCTTAGAATCTCCAATTTGTTCATTCATCGAAGCTGCAGCTAGATGTTGAGAAAAAGCTGGAGAAATTATCTTTTCAGAAGACACTTGTTCTTGTTCTATTGACATTTTAGTCCTTTCTCCTTCAACATTGTCCATAGCAATTTCTTGACTTTCTTTTTGTTCTGAGGAGAGTGGAGTTTTCTAAAATAATGCCAATTCAATTATAATATGTGAACAGAAAATGTTAATAGTCAGGCATCAAGAAGCTTTACCTTTGGAGTTTCAATGGCAAATTTCCTTTTCTTTGACTGGTCGTCGTCCTACTATAAGCTTAAGAGTGTGAAATTTAAGGCGAGGGCCAAGAGTTTTACATTTATAAAAGCCACTACTACCTTTCACTATAAATATAGCTAGGGCGAGTAGGGATCGTCCAAAGGGATTGTGAGGATTGAACAAGGTCGTGGAATCGCTATTAGGGCTAGTAGGTCGAGTGATCAAACAATTGGTTGGTTGGTTGATTAGAGAGCAACTAGATTGAATTAAGTAACAACAAAAGATTGCAACTAAGAGTAAGTAAGAGAGAGAAGAGTCTTGGGGTTTAGAGATCACCACCAAGCAATGCATTTCTATACCGTTGACAAGTGATTAATGAAGGCAAATGGTGTGTTGCAATATTGGTGTGTGTGTGTTTGGTTGATTCAATAAGCAAGGATTACTAGTAAAGCATGTATTATCTAAACATCATGTGAAAGGCACAATATATCTAAGCAATGAAGCATATATTGTCTAAACAACATGTGAAAGGCACAATAGATCAAAACAAGTCATTAATCCTTTCATTAAGCTCACAATCCAAATATAACACAAGGTTAGAGACATATGCCACTTGCATTCAAAAGTTTGGATCATCAAACAACAAGCATGGATTGTCCTCCCATTTAATACTACACTACAACTACACTACATCTACACTACTAGCATGAAAATAAACTAGGGGAGAGGCACAATCCATCAAGGAATAAGTATGAACCATCAAGAAAATCACAAGAGCATTCCATTAAGCACTATGTTTTGACAATCTCTAAATCTATAGCATCAATATACATAGACATGCATCAATAACACAAAATCTACAAGCACATGAACATCTATTCTAGCATACATAGACATTTGGATAAAATGAAATGATCAATTGAAAGCATTTAACCACACAAATCATTGAACAATCAAGATCTATATATATCAAAGTATCAAAACATTAATTACAACACCAATTCCTCAATAATACACAAGATTAAGATATAGAAAGCATGCTTGGGGCTAACTCTAGCCCCAAGAGGATGTCTAGCCACTCATGGTGATGTTGCTCCAACCCTCAAGGGCTAACTCCATGGAAGAGATTTGCTCCTTGGTTGATAAAGAGTCTCTAATGGTGTCTTTAGCCTCATCCTCCTCTAAACTTGCCTTCCAAGAGAATAAACCCTAGAATTGTATATGTCTCAAAAAGTGCATCATATTCCTTTAATAGGTAGGTCAAGTGACACACAAAATGAGCTGGGGTTGTGCAAAGAATATTCTCTAATGATTGGATAGAGGACGGATTGAACAAGCTAGAAATTTAACTTTTTCGCACTGGAGGAAGTTCGATCGATCGAACATTGGACTTGGATCGATCGAACTGGCTGAGATCCATCGAACTTAGGCTGGATCGATCCAACTGGTTGAGCGTTTTGGGAAAAGACAAATCCGAGATATTTTGGAAGATATTTTTGGGAAAAGGACAAAAGTGGTTGTGGGTGGTACAGCTGTGGATAGGATCAATCATTTGAATAAAGACAAAAGTGTTCGATCGATCGAAGGGTGGTGTTGGATCGATCGAACTTTGGACTTTTTGCTTTGGGTCAAGGCTTGGATCTATCTTGAAGTGCTGAGATCGATCAGTGTTCGATCGATCGAACCTTGAAGTTGGATCGATCGAACTTTGCTGCTTCCCACCTTTGGTTTCATTTGCTTCCTTCTTTCTCCACTTTGCTCCTTTCTTTGTTTAATCCCAGAATTGCTTCAATTAAGCTCTTATTTGGCTGAGTTAGCTTATTTTCGGGATAAGTGCCTGAAAATGAAAATAATACGAAATCAATCTAAAACGGTAAAGTAAGATAGATAAAGGTACTAGAATGCCTAAGCTTAAGGGGTTTAAATATGCACTTTTCAGCGCTCATCATGGACATAACTTCATCTTCATCCACTTCATCGTCATCAATCAAGATGAAGTGTCTCTTAACTCTTGATTTTTTAGCAGGTTTCTTTCCCACGGTCTTTTTCTTTGTTTTTCCCTGGTACAGAATTGTTAGCAGGTAAAATGGAATGTATCAAGACAAGTAGATACAGTGTGATTATGAGTTTTACCTGAGTAGCAGCTACAGGAGGTATGCTCTGAATAGGAATGTTGTGGGGTTGTTTCTGAATTAGTTGGATTTGTTCCTTCTGGTACAGAAGGTGGAACACCTGCAGTTTAAAACAATAATAAATCTATACTAAAGAGTAGATATGTTTATTGATGAGATGCAAAGAAGACTACAACTAACTTTGCCGAGAGCATGATCTAGTCCTACATGTTGAAGCTGTAGGTGGGGTATGACTAGTTGATCTAATGGGCTTCTTCTCTGGCGTAGGAGCTGTGGCAAGAACAACAGGGGAGATGGTTTCTCCTTCTTAAAAAGAGAGAGATATAAACTTGTAGGATCCAAGAAGAGTATTGACAAGCTGCATGGCTTCTTTTGACCTATTTAAGCCAATATACGAAGACCACCACTCTTCAAAGTTTGGATTAGTGGTTAGCTCTTCCAAAAATTCTTTGTATTAAAAATTGCTCAGGAGTTTCTGAAATTTGTTGGTGACATCCCAGACTTGATCACTGTCTGATAGTTTCACTCTCTTATGATAATTCTTGTTATATGAAGAATTAGGAGGCACTGGACTTAATTGAGTCAATCCAAATTGTCTGGCCAGTTGTGCAAGGTTATAAAACTTTACCCCAGTTCATCTTTTTGCAACATGGTGGGCAACAATATTGCAAAAAAGATCCCTTGCAATTAAGAAATGGCCCCAAGCAGTTTTATATAGTTCAATTTGTTCTATCGAGGAATCGGCAGTGGGAGGAAACAACCACGAAGGGGCTAATCGACAATTGGCAAAGGGAAGGAATTGAGAGCGAGTTCAAAAGGTACATTGGTGGTAAAAGAACTGAAAACAATCAAGGAATGACTATTCTTTGGGTTTAGCTATGGCATAACCAAAAGAAATTAGAGAATCATTTGCTGAGAGAGGAATTTTGGGAGATAACTCAGGAAAGTAAGCATGCAACCAAAACTGATAGAGCCAAAATGGTCCTCCAGACCGAGAAAATCTTAAAATAGTGAGGTCTAATAAACCTCTGTATAAAGATGCTAAAAGAAACAGAGCTAAGGCCATAGGTTTTCCCTTAGACAACGCTATGGCTAACTAGGTAAGATCTTTGGTAATTTGGATTGTAAGAGCACACAATAAATTCTGACATAACCACAACAACAAAAAACCTATATGTTCTTGTTCAATTACATCAGTCTCATGTTCTCTAATCATTTCTTTCAAAACGGCCCAAAAGATTGGATATGATGTTTAGGGCTGCCTTGCTCAGGAAATTTAAAGTTTGTTGGAGAAGGTAATTGATATCATCCCCTCCAGGTTTCAAACCAGTCAGAAACCAAACATCCCTAAGGGTAGGGGCCATCATCCCACAATCTAAATGTAATGAATTAGTGGTGGGTGACCAAAAGTGTAATAAGGCAAAAAATAAAGCTCTATCAAAAGTCAGAGGAATCTTACTGATTTGGATAATATCGAATATACCCATCTTTTTCCATAGATCTCCT